TAAACTTTTATATAATCTAAAAATCTTCAATTTTACTATATATTACTAAGTAAAATTTATAAAATCCAGTAATTTATTGTAGGGCAGTGTAGAATTTAGTCTGTAAATGATTCAGAAACAAGAAGAAAAGTTAGGATATTTAGATCATATGTATGTGATAATTAGATTATATTGTGGTAATAAAACCATAATAACATAAAAAACATGAATACTAGGAAAGATTTAAAGACATAGCTAGAATGTAAAAGAAATATAAGAAAAAGTAAAAGTGATAGATTATATGTGGTATTTAGATTATATTATTTAGATTATATGCGGTATTTAGATTATATTATTTAGATCACATGTGGTATTCAGATTATATGTGATACTATAATCTAGTCTAAGTGGGATACCACATGTAATATACATGTGGTATCCCACTACATAGTACAATTACAAAATGTAAGGCGAAGTCAATCGACTTTAACGTTGTTTTCTAGTAAGACAGTATAATTTTGTAATAAAATTTGCTAAATTTTTATTGGAATTACTTTGCTACCATTTTCAAAATGAGACAAATCATTATAAATTAATCTAATACGAAAAGCATAATACGGTAAATTTACGTATATCACGCACGAATTTACTTGTGCATCGATTCTTATTTTTAAACTTATCTTTTCAGAAAGCTATTATTTTTAAAAATATATAATCGTTTAAAAAAGAACACCGCAGTAAAATACACACTAATACACTAATAATAATGAAAGCCATTCTTGCAAATATAAAATTGATTTTATAATATTATTTTTATTTAGGTAAATTAAAAATTATCTTGAAAAATTCTGGGAGACTTAAAGTTCAGAAACCAATAAATTTATAAATAACATTAACGGATCTAGATGATACTTCTTTGTAATTAATAATACATGGATTATTATCTTATGTTACGAATCTTTTCAAAGTATAAACCAACCTCGAATAAAATGAACGAATTTATAAGTTGTGTCAGTCGTACAGTACATCTTTAAGATCTTTATATTTACCAAAATGATTTTTTTTGTACAACTACGCGGTAGTGTCACATTATTAAAACACAACATATGCTAATCTTTATTAGATATAAATGTTTGAAAAAATTTTTTCAAATGTCTTTCTCCTCGAGAATAAATAATTTCGTCCAAAATTTTAATTAAAATAAAAGTCTTCTTAGAAATTATCACTTCCTTGTTCAAGAACAAAATTATTTCATTTTCCATTTTTTTATGTCCTTTTAATTTCTTCTTTTTCTTCTACATCATCAAAAAAAAAAACTTATCATGAAAAAATTCTCATTAACTTTAATCACAATTTACTTGTTTTTCGCTATAACGCTCGTCTCAATTCCTTCGATTTTAGCACAATGCATAGATCAACCATTCCCCACCCAACCAAACAAAAATCTGGCAGTAAAGTGTTTAACGGTAAAGCAGCCAATAAAAAAATTAAAATCACAAGTATCAAATGACAAGGACATGCTTGAAATACGATTCGATTGTGCAATTAATGATGAAACGATATGTGCAAAAGTAAAATCCACTTTCGAGGAAGCAGGTCGTATAATAACATCCGCTTTAACATTAAATACACAAATTATAGTCAACGTAACGTTTCGTGAAATGATGAGTCCTGCAATCTTAGGGTCCGCTAGACCTTTCAGATTAATGCCAATTAAAGATGATGATGGAATTGAAAGATTGTATCCACAATCTTTAGTTAAACAATTACAACTTACCTCACATCCTGAATTCGCTCCTGTTGATATAATTGCTGACTTTAATTCATTAGTTGCACTTTGGTTCGAAGGTGACCCTCCCATCACCAGTAAGCAAGTTGGATTCTTAGAATTAATTTTACATGAATTGATGCATGGACTTGGATTTGTTTCGGCTTGGGGTGATTATTTCCCAAAAGCTGCTACCCCTGAAGTCAATGACTTTATTGAATCAGAAAACTCTAATTCGAAAGCCATGACTGTTTTTGGTGGATTTCAAGAAAAGGCTTTTGACAAATACCTAGTCATATTTCCTGATAATGTAACAACATCATCTTACATAAACGAATTAAATAAATTTGCTGATGGATCGGCTTTTAAAAACTTTGATGATTTTTATGTAAAGTTTATTGCTTCACCGCAATATTTAGTTGCCAAGGAAATTTATAACCATTTCGTTACACCAAAATCTCTCGTTTTCAAACCAAGCGTTAGTGATAAAGAAGAAGATTGGACTTATTTAGAAACTACTCTAAATCCTTTTGAACGAGGTGCAGTTATTTTTCAAATGAGAAGTTCATTACCGAATAAAATGCTTACGTCTTATCAATCAAACTTTCAGGTTCCAGCGTTTCTCATGTTGATAATACGATGTATACTAATACAAGCGATTTCTTGATGACGTATCGTCAGGAACATAATCGGACCCTCAATGACAACATTGGAATAGGTGGAAATTATGCCGGAGGCGCTATAAGTTATAAACTCCGACTAATTCTAGAAAGCTTAGGGTAGGGTATAGTAAATTAATTAATTTTATTTTGGTAAAAATTCAAACGTTTTACACGTTTTTTATCTTCGATTGTTCTTTTAGATATACCGTAAAGTACCCCAGCCCATTTCCGTCTAACGAAACAGATCCAGTAATCGAAAATTCAATTCCCACCTCTTTGTCGACAAGGAATTTTGCATATCAATCGTCTATTGCATACATTGTTGGAATCGTGATGATTATAAATTCCTTACTTTAAATTTAGATTTCTAATGAATAATATTATATAATCAGATAATTTAATAGGAAATATGCAAAGTATTCATATGGTCATTTTAAATGATCATGATTTGTTTTATTTATTATTTAACGTTAATACAATACAAAAAACAAATCACATTTATATTATATGCCATTAAAATAGACATAACTAATAATCTTAATAATTGATTTTAAAAATTAAAATACCGTAATTAGAGAATATTTATCATGTTTCAACAATTTCTAATTGATTTTTCCCCTTTTGTTTGCAGATTTATGAGATTTATGATTATATAATAAATGGCAGCTGAAAAATGAACTAAACAAATGATGTATAATTCTTTTTATACAATAGATAAAAATTATCTATCGGAAAACATCAGAAATCATCCTATAATATTAAAATAAATTAATGTTCATTTAGAACAAATTTATGGATCATAACTCTTACTTTATCTGGTGGAGTATAATATACACTTTTTATAATAGGAGATATAACCAAATTTGATTGTCAATTTAAAGAATAGCTTCTAACTATTCAGAAATATTTAAAAGTATATTCGAATGTTCGATTAACACCGTGATATTAGAATCTCAATTAATCTTCAATTTGTTAGTCGTGGCGTGTGAATATTTTGTGTTTCTGCGCAAATAGGGATGCTTTTGGTATCTTAGGTCAAATTCTTCTGACCGACTGTCGGTTTGCTAGTTCGGTGATCGATAATTTGAATGTAAAACTCGAAAATTGTTGTTATATTAAGATTATTATTTATTTACGTATTGCTTTTATTTAATGGTTTACAGTCATGATTTATCGGTCAAAAGGTCTTGAACATTGACCGAACATGACCAACGTTAGTTTCCTTTTGTGCATGTTCAGTTCAGTGTATCACAATAGAACAGGTATATTTCTTTCTTTCTATCATACTTATTATTCTTATTATAATCATACCTATTTTTTACTCCTCCTTCAGCGTCAATTTTCCTTCATCCAGGTTTGTTATTGCATTTCATTTTTTCTCTCTTCTTTTTATTCAATAAAAGGAATTAATGTAAAAAAAATATAAAGTCAAATATAATCTTTTTTTATTTCTGATAATTTCTCGTATTTTAGAATTATTTTTTTTTTTTTATATCCAATTATTAATTGATCGACCCGAACGCTCTAGCAAAAATGTTAAACGTAAACAGATTATATCCATCGTTAATAATTTTGTTATTATTATATGTTGGAGAAAAATCATGTCGGTGGTTTGATAGAAAAATGACCTATTGGTACTAGATAATTTCTAGTTTCAGCAATCATTTTTCTATCAAACATCATTTATAAATCGTCAAACGCCTATATAATTAAAAGGTTTATTATACAATTTTTCTCTCAATAGAGAAAAAATAAATAAAATGCGATCTAAATTGATAATACCAAATATCCATCCCGAACGGTCACGAAATCTTTCTCTTCGACATCGAATAACTATCTTTTTTTTTTTTTTTAAAAAAAAAATAGAGAGAATTATATACTTACACTATTTTGGTATTCTATGCATCCACCTGGTTTAATATTCTGTATAGCTCTGGAAATACGAGATTCTTCCAACGTGAGCTTACAGGAATCGTTAACGTAATTTCAAAGGAGGGAATAGAAGAGGATGATGATTTTTCCAAGAACTTGATTTTTTTTAATTTTAATGACATTGATTTTTTTATTTCTAATTTTTATTTAAAATAATTGACGATTTGTTGAAAATAAACGACTGTAATTTAATATTTAAGGAATCAAATATATCTATGAAGTCAATCCTACTGCGCCACAAAGGATCGATGAAGATTAGTGTTATTAACAGTTTTAACTTCTTTAACTTATTTAAAATTTATATTTTATTTTTATTTATATTATGTATTATTTATACTATTATTATATTTTTATCATAGTGTATACACTTTGTTATTTTTTTTACATGCGTCATTTATCATTTGAATACAAAAACTTTAGTTTCACTTTGAAGAAATCAACAAACAATTCCCCTTCAAATACTGCAAAACAACGATGACCATATCTCTATTTCTGATCCAAAGCTCATCGATAATTTTTTTTTTTAATGTTTCGAATTCGGCCGCTTCAGGACAAAGTGATAGGATGATTTTTATTTTTTTCCAGTATTTAAATATTTTTCTTCCAAAATGTGAATCAGCCACTTCATACAATATCAACAATCACTGTTATTACTTGTATTGCTTTCTTGTATCATAAAACACCTGTCCAACTAAATTGTAATTGAATAAAGATTAACTTATTATTTATACAAAGTGAATAAAATCAACAATATTTCTTACATTTGATAATACAGGGGTTGATTAGAGTCATTATTGAAAACGTATAGAGAAATATTTTATGGAATGAATCTTCCTTGAGATTAATTAGTTCTGAGGAGATATAATTATCTTCAATAGGAAGAAAATCAAATATTATAGATCATTAAATTTGTAGCTTAATATGATGTTTTAATTCTTATTCTTTTAATGCTTTTAATGCACCCAAATCTTTGACTATCTTAACGAAATTTGCATTATAATTTGTTAATGTATAATCAATTATTCAAAAAATTTTTTTCAGACGATTATAAAAATTCTATCATCTTCATTGACAATAGAAATAAAACTCATCGCCAATAATTCAGTGAGAAGGTTTTGGCAGCATTACACTATCATTATCATGGAAGATTTCATACAATCGGATAATGCTTATCATACAATAAAGATGCCTTTCTAAAAAAAAAAAAAAAATAAAATCATTTTTTAATAAAATCATTTTCGTTTATTTTTAAAATTTTCTCGATTAGTATATAACCTGGATCATGGATCCCTGCCTTTCAAGCTGCGACATTCTCTGCTCTAATTAAAATTTGTTGCGATTGATAGTTACCATAACAATTAAATTCAGTTTTAAAAAATAAAAATTTTTTTAGTATTTGTTAAATTATTTCAGATTCAAGGATCAAATACGTAATTTTTTTTTTTTAGAAGTATATTGTAGAGCAACATAATAAAAAATTTGCTCCAAACAATAAACAAACTAACTTCATGATTCGAGGATTTTAATGTAACGAATTTATACTACGTATTTTTCTGAACCATCCGTAAGAAAGATTCACCTCGACTTGCATGAGCAATTGTCATTTCTAGATTTTTCATAAAAACAAAAAAAAATAAAAATAAAAAAATAAACAAAATTTTATTCAATAAATCCACAAATCACCATGAGCGACTCACAATTTCACATCATAACCTTTGGTAATCATATCACTGATGTTTTTTGAATGGTGAATCTTACAACTTTTCGAAGAACGTAAACGCGAATGCTAATTCGTTAGCCGAAAGAAGCGCAAAATCGTATATAGTCGCCACTGGTTATAACGAACCTGTTTATACCTACCGAAAACTGGTTATATCGAACCAAAGAAAAAAAAATGTTAATTAATTTTTCCCAAGATCAACTAATTTTTTTGACTATATTATAAAAGTGGTAGTATATTATGATACATTCTAACCAGATTTAGGTTTAAATGGATCCTTCATTTGAATTATAACTTTTAAATCCAGTAAATCGGTAAAATAATTTATATGGCAACTATCTACTCGGTTTACTTTGGTAATTTCCACAGTGTATTCGCAATTATTCAATTATTCACAAAAAAAAAAATAAAAATAAAAATTTTCACTTTTTCCCGAAAGAAATTTTAGGAAAAGGTTTAACGAATAAAATTTTAATGTCAAAACGAAGAGATGAAAACTGAATGTTATTTGTAGATATGTTAAAAGAAGGAATGTAAGAATGTATTTGATAACTTGGCCGATTATGAATAAATAAAATTTTATGATTACGTTTTAAGTTAACATTTAAGTTTAATTATTAAAAATAATTAAACTTAACTGATTAATTTTTTAATTGTTTAAACCGGAATATTAGCCGGTAAAAATAAGTCTTAATTAGGACATTGTTAACCGGTTAAAATTTTTAATGCCGGTTCCAATAACTAAGATTAGTTTAGAAATATTTGCTAAGTTATTGTTTTTTATTGTATCGGCCTAAGTAATATTAATCGTTAATCAACCGATTAAAGAATGAAATTCGGAAATTACTTAATAGATCAAGCATTTGTAGGGCGGCGATTATTCAACCTTTTTCTATTATTCAACGGGTTTCATTGGTTCTTCCGGACTATACTAGGAACCTTATTTATGAATATAGGAACAAGAAAATTGAACTTTATCTTGAAATTTTAGGAGAAGTCTATCTTAGATCCGCACTTTCACTAGATAAGTTAGTCTTCTAAGGAAAGCCATGAACCTTAACTTGCAAACAAGCATTCAAGTAGATGTCACCGCTAATAAATTAAAATTAATAAATTTGATTCATATTTTTGTGCGTCACCTTCTAATGTCATACATAGGTATATAGTACCGGTATAATTCTAACAAAATTTAATTGAACTGCTGATTGTATTTTATAATGAAATATGTATTATTGTTGTCAAGTTACATTATTGAATATTTTATTTTAAAACAAAAAGGATATAAGATGCCAAATTTAACCAAAAAGTAGTATTAAAATTCAACTATAGATAGTATTTTAGATTTGTAAAATTTATTTATTATTGAATTATTTCAATTCCGCATCGTAAAATAGAATAATTAATTATATTGGGTCAAGTTCGAGTTGTCATTATTGAGTCCGGGCTTCTATATTTGGACTTTTACAGGCCAGATCTGAGTAGGAAATATTTCAAAAATATATTTGAAAATTCAGGATTGCTAGAATTTTGCTCATTATAATTGGTTATACGCGTCAATTAAACATAAATCTTTCATAAAATCATATAAGTTTATTGGTTCTCCTAATCAAACTTTATAAAATTTATTCCTATTTAATCACGTGAAAAACTACGCCTTGATTTAAATTTTGGCGTTGAACTATTATTGACTTACCTCTTGTGTAAATTACATCAGTATCTTTTTTGGCAAGACTCAATTAAATTTAAAAACATTGGGTGATTTGCTATTAAAATCGAGTTAACGAACATATTAAGTCATATGATTCGTAACGTGATTTTAATAGCAAACCTCCCATATATAGACTTCAATTCCGTTCCACACATCTTGTAAATTTTCTCACGGGTCTTCCCTTCCTGTAGTTCAGGAAGGTGTCTTAAAAACGACTATTGGCTTATGCTCTATGGGTGGATATTGTCAAGAATGTTACTCCATTATCGGGATCATTATCGTGTTGACAAATTACATCTTCAACACTCAATCCTCAATCTGAAAAAGAATTTGCCGTTAAAGTTCCCATTAACTAACTTTGTTACAATTTATAAATCTATCAATACATTTGTTGTTCTATTCACTTCCTCTTTTTTTTAGCATAATTAAATCACGAAGTAAAAGATGTGGAAAAAGGTAATGATTTTCAAATAATTTGATTACAAATAGGAGCAAGTTTAAATAAAAGAATTCAAATAAGCAGGAGCAAGATGGATCAATCAGACTTTTTCAAATAGGCAAAACAAAAAAGATAATCCATTCATTGATGAGAAGAAATATATCTCAAAATTCCGGAAAATGAGATGAGACTGTAAATACCAGATAAAGAGAGCATATAGGTCAGCCACGTTTTTGAATAAAACAAGTATATGTCAAAGCTTCCTAGAATGATCTATTTTGGTAATTATTCATTGGTTGATAAGTTATTTATAATTTTTTTAATTAATGAAATTGATTATTAGCAATATTTTGCAGCAGTGGTGAATAAATAAAATAATAATTTGTTGTTTTTTCGGGAAATGATAGTAGAAGAAATTTTCTATTTTTGACTATATGATGTATTTTTTAAAATTTTTTCAATGTATTTAAATCTAAATTTCAATGAGATGAGGTTGGTTTTTAATTATTTTTTTTTTAATAAGAAAAAGCTTAATCAGGAATCAATTAGGTTTGATGCAAAGGATTTTTTAATACGCTGTTAGTGATAATTCGTTTGCATCACTAAATGACTGCGTCACTAAATGACTGCGCCAGTTACTATTATAGTTATCGTCGTGATATTTATTTTCTTTATTTATTTACTATATTTATTTTCATAATTATATTTACTTTCATTATTATATTTATTATCTCTTTCTTATGATTGTATTTTATATAAATATCCTGTATTGTTGCCCTGACAAACTAACAAGTTTCTATCGTACAATTAGTAAAGTATTATCTTAACAACATAAAAACTATATCTTTGCCAATATCTATTTCCTTAAAAACATAAATCATCAATAAAGACGACCTGTCCCTTCAACTTAAATAAATTCGTGTTTATTTCTTTCATAGTTTATAACTTAAACTCCCTGTTAGCAAATAAGCTTTGTTATCCTAACGACGTAGTGTTTAGGCTTAACAACGCCTCGGGCTTTCCTAAAATAATAATAGCCGCACTAAGAAATAATTTGATTTTTTTTTTAGTTTTAAAGATAATACATTATGCTTGATTTTAACATTTTAAATATAATTATAAACATTTTAATAAATCCATAGTACTATTTAAAATTCTAGATTAATAATAACAGTTATTTGGTCGTTTAATTCTGCGGGAGGCATGATGACAAATTCAGTCAAAAAATTTTCAATGTTCTGAATATATTTGATTGTTCAATTCTTTTCCCCCCTTTTTTTTAAAAAAAACAAAGATGACTTTGTTCCTTCCTGCTGATTGCCTAAATGAAATTTTAGAATACTTGAAAAAAAAAGATTTACGCTTATGCTTATTAGTGAACCATCTTTGGTGTAAAATCTCTCTTCGAATTTTATGGAGAAGGATGCAAAATTTTAAGACTTTAATCACTAAGAAATCCAAAGCAATTTATATAAGAATGGGATCATAATATCAACCTCAAGACCACCATTGTTTAATTATACAGCTTTTATCAAAATTCTTTGTATTAATGCTATACATCATGCAATTATAAGATTTCTCAGGAATCATCAACCTTCTACTCCAAAAAGACTTGTTAATAATAAAAGTTTGATAATAACATGGGAAATATTTAAAATGTTTATGAATCAAACTTCTTTGAAAATTTTATATTTTGAATTTAATGTAAACGACAACATCCCTAATATTCCATTTACCACTTATCCTGGAGGGAAGGATTGTTTAAGTAATCTTTCTGAATTTTCATGTAGTTCAAATTTATATCTTGAATTTTTTTATCAGATATCTCGAATTTGTCATAATTTACAATCACTAAAAATAACTTTTGAATATTTCATCTCAAATGGATTAACAGAATTAATTTCTGTTCAAAAAGATTTAAAGTACTTGGACTTGTACTTGGATTATATTGATGATGATTAGATTGAAGCAGAATTGGATTATTATTACAGTTATTTAGATGAATCTGACTTGGTTTACTGTAACAAACATTTAGATGAAAGGCAATCACTAGCAAAAATTCCAAACACATTAACCATTTTACACATTGTTGGAAAACCCTGTCACATGCAATTGTCATTTATTTCTAAGCTCTCAAATTTACAAGAACTTTCATTATCATTTATTAGAAAAAAAGGATTAGAAGAATTTAAAAATCTTCAACATGTTATCCTTCCACAATTACAAATTTTAACTTTTAAATATAAATGTCCCAAAGTTGGATACCTGATCAATTTCTTAGAAATCAATGGAAAGAATTTAAAAAAACTTGATCTTGGAAAAAATTATTCTTTTAATAATTCATTAAATTTAGCTGTAGCCAATTTTTGATCGTTACGATTTACATATTCAAATACAAACTTGAATTACTTGGATACATTAAAGTAATTTTAAAGGTTGTGAACAATTAGAAAGCCTTGATTTTTTGTGCGGTGATGATTGTGAAGACTATATAATGGAGCGTGAATTTTTAGAGATGGTTGTAGAATTTTCACCTAAAAAATTTCACGAGTTAAAGTTAGAAATGGGATCTTACGTAGATATAGAAACAGTATTTCAATGGGGATTAAAGACTATCTTTAAACGCTGGGCGAATCGTGTGCCATGTATTCCACTTTCTTTAACTATTATTACGAAAATAGCATGGACAATTACAATGGATGAAAGAAATGACAAATTAATTGAAATGTATAAAAAATTAGGTGTTAATAAAGAAATTTAAATATTCAATGATACACGCGATAATTATGATTGTCGTTAAATAAATAAAATAAACGCAAGAGAACAATAAAAAATCGTGGGCGACTTGAAAAGTGCGTTTGATAAGCGTAATAACTTGCAAATCCAAAATTCCAAAAGAAAAGCACTATTTCTTCTTTTTTTTTAAAATAAAAAACGAAATTATTTTACTTATTAGATTAATTTTTTTTAAGTTATAAATCAGTTTTTTTTAATACAAATGTTGTTGGTTTGAATGAATGATTTTATAAAACTAATATTAACAATCATGTCGTGTGGGATAAGCATCAAAATAGATTTAGTTTATATAATTCAATTATAAATAAATAGATTCTTATAATTCAATAAATTGAATGACCTTTTGATAATTCTTTTAGAAAAAATTTAAAATTAGTTTATTCCTGCGTCAATATTATTTTTTTTAGTTATTCGACCTCTTCTATGCAATGATAATTATTCATTCTTTGAGAAGACACCTCGTTTAAATTAATTTCATATGCTCACGTGCCTCAAATCCATCTAGAAAGGAGGAATGACGAAAAGAGGAAACTTTAAATAAATTTGGTATCCAACATGTAAAATTATCTAGTATAATATGTTTGTTATTATAATGAAATGGATAAGGTGTGAAAATAGGTGTGGTGGGATAACTGTTGGGTAAAGTAGGTGGAATCACGTTACGGATCATATGATTTATTATGTTCGTAAACAATTTATTTCATTAGTAAAATTATAAAACTTGATGCCATCATTGGATTAATTCTTTATTAATATAATTAAATTAGGGAGATGTTTTATAATCTTTAAAAAAAAACAAACGATATGTGAAATTTCAATGCATTAACTATTTTATTAAAACATAAGGAAACTAACACTAATTGCTGAAGTGATTGCACCAACAACAGCACGTGTACCACTTATATTTACCCGTGAAACACTACTCTGACCGCAACTGCTACCGCCAGTGACAATATCGTCAAAACTATTATTACAAACATTGTGCTTGACTTGTAGTTGTAGTTGGTGTGGTAGCTGGTGTTGTTGTTGTTGATTCAGCTTTTACGTTGCTTACCATGACTGTAAATATACTTTTCCTTTTATTCTTATAGTTTTAATATTGAGATGAGAAATACTTTCCACCGCCAATTATGTTATAACTTTTGAAATTTATAGATTAGTAATGACAAAGTAATGTTCAGCAAATAGATGTTTCGAAGCATATGCAAAAATTGATCAAATAAATATTATATATTGGAACTAAACTGAATTCTTTAAAATTTCTGCTAATTAAGCAAATGAATTTTCTGGAGCAAAATTAAAGATGTGGAAATTGCTTATATAATGGCAAATGTGATTAACAGAATTTAACGAAAGTCTCAACAGGATTCAATAGGTAGTCGTACTAGAATTACAATAATTAAATGGTTTTAAAAATTCCATTAACCGCATAGTATCGTTATATTAATTATGTGTTAATACTTGAAATTGCAATGAGGTGAGGATTATTTCGAAAGTTATCTTTGTATCTCGTGTTGATTGTGGTTATATGTTCATATTGATTCAATAATCTAAACCATATATTTATTAAAATAAAGAAAACGCAATAAAAAATTTTGTTTTTAAAATTTTTCATATTCTTTGAAAATCTATTATGTTAGATACTCTGAATTTGCATATAAATAAATACCTAAATTTCCTATTTATAAAAAAATTTTTTTTTTATTATTTGTTAAACGTCAGGGGCGTTGAAAAAAAATCTTGGTAACACTTGTATAGGTAATACGATTTCTTAAGTCGTCATATGGGTTGATTGCTAGGAAAATCAGGTTCCGGGAATTTTTTAGCAAAATTGAGATTTTTATTGCATTTTGTTATTGATATTATTAGATTAAAATGTATTAAGCTCTTAATTTTAGTCAAAAATTTCTCGGAATCTGATTTTCCTAGAAACAACTCCCATATGTAATATGTAGCAAAAACTCTGATTACAAATGATTTTTCCTCGCTTCATAAGTTTCTCAACAAAAAAATTCTTTTAGCAGGAAACTTTACAAACCCTATATCTACAAAACTTTAAAATTCTGAAAGATCTTTTATTATAATGTACATGTACATACATATATTGCACTGTATTAATATACCAAAAAACTATTCACAAGAATAAAACTTCTCGAACAAAGCTAGTCAAGATCACAGAAGAGAAATAAATATGAGTTATATTAATTGGTGCATTTGTAATAAACCTTATCACAAAATACCATGGTATGTCAAGGATAGCTATTACTGGGACATAGGTTTCTTTATTTGTTCTCATGGTTGTTACGGTTGTGTTGGAAGTGACAGTCAAAGCTGTAGAAGTGAGTTGGAAATTGAAAATGATTCTGCCATTATCATTCAGCGAAATGTTCGAAAATGGTTGGACAAACGTAAACGAGCCGCACGGGTAATCACCAACGCAATTTTAGCCTGGTATTACAGGCCTGACGGACCAAGGATGAAAATTGCCGAAGAAAGTTTTAAAAATTAATGGTGGATCAGGATAAGAATTCTCAAAGATCGGGCTAAGTGTGATTTTGCTAAGTAACGTTAGATATTTCTAGAATTTAGTATCCTAATAGCTTAAAGTAATAAAGGAATTAAATATCGTAGAATCATATTATATCTTATATCTGAGGATGTTATTTTTATGAATAAGATCGTTTGAATATTGTACTTCATACATTGATTCGGTTTCAATTATTTTTTATTAAATTAGTGTATTGACAGTATAATTTGAATGATATGATATGAAGTATGATAAGAAATGGCAGGTAAGTTTTAATCAATCGATCGATTTAGATCCCATCACGTTGAATAATTATAATTGAATTTTTTATCTTTAATTCTTATAATACTTAAACATTAAGTAATTACAGTGCACGCAAGTCAAACATTACAGATTTCTTAATATGATGATTTCAATGAAACATTATTCTTTGATTCTTATCGACCATTGTCATCGATCATTCCCAAGCACACAAATTTATAAGAAATTTATTATCATGTTAGGAAAAGGACTTTGAAACCTTAGATCTTCACAATCGCAAACCTTAGAATTTGGACGTGAATACCATGATCCTAAACACTGTATGTATAATGAGTCAATGTTAGGTGGCATCGTTCTATGGAATATTAGATATAAAATGTAAAATTTTTTGATTAATACTAATTAATATCCAATTAAATTGATTATTGTTTCTCACCACCAGATGCCTCTGTGCTCTTTCATCTAATTAAATCAAAATTTGTATGGTATAAATAAAATTTTACTATTGAAAATTTTCCTGAAATTCTGATATATAGATTTGATTTATAATATAACTAGATCATTTAAATTTCTATTATATCAGTTATCTCCTTCCTAAAACAAACAAAAAACAAACAAATAAGTCAGAGCAAATACATCCTGTGATTCAATTAAATGTAATTTATATATTCACTTTCTAATGTCAATTGATCGTCATTGTATTAGTATATTTGTATAATAGCAAGAATTAATGTTAACAAATATGTAGTCAAGGACTATAATTTAATGTGAATGCATTTTATATGAAAGTATTCGCAGACATATTTATGAATTTACGTGAAGCTTTAAATTGTTGTTTTACAAATGCTAAAAAGAAGAACAATAGCCATAGTATATATCGAACTTGCTTAAAAGCATTACCTATTCCTTTCCATTATTTTTGGACACCATAATTTTTGGAGTGTGAAGATCTGTAACACCACACCATGTTATTCTCGTGCAGTAGACCTTGCACACCGTTAACGATATCTAATTTCCTTCGACTTATCCATTGATGTACCATGAACAAATTCCAAATATTCTCCTTGTTGCCCAACGTATACATTTTTGAGCCAACTATGCCTACTATAACAAGAATAAAAGATGGTACAAGCAACTTTCTCAACTCGTTCTACCTATATACAGTATAAGCATCGAGAGTCACAATAAACATTTGAGATTTAAACAGAGAATGAAAATAAACGTATTTTTTTTCTGAGACTGTTTACCTACTATACCTAAAAGTCATTAACTGGGTAAAATTTAACACTTTAAATTGACTAAGCTAGCGAAATCATTTGTAAATTAACCGGTTCCAACTTCTAAATAGTTCTTTAAAGCAGATCGCATCAACCCGAGATTTTGAATAAATCACTCTATCACACATACAGTTTCTGGAATATCTAAGTGTGTGTAAAGTTCTGAATTTTTCCGATAATGATTTCACTTAAAATTTTCGAACGATCAGCTTCGAGGCTCTAACCTTTCGTTGTTGCAAGAATAAGCCTTGATAAAAATTTCTCAAAACCAACCGAAGATTTGTTATAAGAACGACGTAAAACTTTGGAATTGCACTAATGTCATAAGAAATCAAAGTGCAAGTGTGAGCAGTAGTGAAATAAATAAAAGACTCTTACTTACGAGAGGGGAGTTTAATTAAAGATTTCATTAGCTCCAAAGAAAAGACTGACAATTTTCATATTGGAAGCGTTAACTTTATTACGAGCTCAATGTCAATTGGCATGGATCAAGTGAGATGTTCACCTTCTATAGTATTATATCCCTAGCTAAAC